AACATCAAGGAGGAATCCGAAGACTGGCTGAGAAACATCTTTAAAGGCTGGGGACTTTCGGGTTGGCTGGCTTCAGTTGTCAAAACCATTATTTCTATTGTCCTTGTTATTATTCTCATTTGTATTGCTATCCTCATTATTAAGACCTTAGCTGTCCGCAGCATCTCCCCATCACCCCAAGTTAACCATGCAAAGGTGGGGCCTATCCTGGATTGGGATCTCGAAGATCCCCCAACTGGTGAAGATATGGAAGCAGTTGAGGAAGAGGAGGATGGGCTCACCTCTGGCAAGGACTTTGAAAATGACACTTCTGTTTTAAAAGAAAGGGGGAGATGTTGTGTTACATTGTTTAATGTTAATTTTCCTTCTGGGTTGATGGTTCGTCCCAGTTTCGTTCCCCTAAGTTAAGTACATAATGTTTTTTCCCTTTCCCGCCTTTGTCCTAGTCAGTCATCCTAAACCCCTCCCCTTTATCTGGAACCTTCCCTGTCTCTCACCCTAAACCCTGCTCCACTGGATGTCAATCCTTTGTAGCTCCTCCCTTTGTTCTAGAAGTTTCTGTGTCAAGCATTCCCTTTTGTATCCATGATTGGTTGTATTGTATGTGTCCCCATCCTCGGTTTGCCTTATTGGCTCAATGTTCCCCTTTCCCCGCCTTCTGTACCTCCCCCCGTTACCCGTTATTGGCCAGCGTTTTGTGCCTTCCCCTTGCTCCTCCCCCGTTCTTAAGCCTGTGTAGACCCTCTCAGAACACCTTTTGCGGTTCCTTCTCCCAACCTCCGGACTTGTTACCTTTTCCTTCAATAAATCCCTTCCCCCAGAACCGTAAAAGGTCTGTCCTGCACCTCTTTGTCCCTCCCTGATGACTCGCCCAGGTGTAGCTGTTGTTACACCCCTTCTGCGGCTCCCGGAGTGGTGCCGGGGAGGGGCCACTCACCGACGCAGGCTTCCCGGAGCCAGCCGCTAGCCCAGGTGAGGTGGGCAGTGGGTGGAAGACGCGTCAAGTGGTGTTAACTAATCTGCGGCTTTTAATTTTCTGCTTCTATTCAGGAAAACCAGCCAGGGAGAAATTTGTTGCTGAAAATCTTTTACTTAGATTAACACTTGCAGTGAAATTGAGACAAGATTTTCCTACTGTTACTCATCATGTAAACTGTAGAAGTACATTATCACAAGGAGTACATAATTTCACTTTTCCCACAAACCTTAGGTTTTAGCAAATTACTTCAAGCTAGAATAAATGAGTGCAGGTATGGACGTCTAAACCTCAGTGCTCTGTTAAATAACCTGTTTGCTGTAGTATGAAGACAGTGGACCAGCCTCAGATAATGCAAATCAACACAGCCCCATTGGTTTTAATAAGACAGAGAATTACTGTCAGCTGGAGGGAGCTTGGCTCGTTTGGGTAGGTTAAGGTAGGTTTAGGTAGGTTAACCTTCAGCAGGCTCATTTGCTGACAAGAACACTACAAAAATAATGCTGTTACAAGCAACGGCAGTACTTCTCATTTAATTGTACTATGTATTGTCCTAGTCTATATTATCTCTCTTCGTTAGACAATTGAAAGTAGTGGATATGAAACCGCACTTAGTGCAACCTTATGAAATCAAAAATACCATTCCAATGAATAGAAATAAAAAGATTTCTTTTTTACATTTGTTTGGAGGGAGCATAAGGTTTTCACACGTTCATTAAATTGTTTCATCTCTTCCTAGTGCTTTATGTTGTGTGAGATATGGGAAGTCTCATAGCACCTAAGACATATCTCAGGCATGGAGATATTTTCTAGGAAATAATGATCATAGAGTACTGTACTGTACTCTACTGTAAGGTTGAATTCTGGATTATTTTTAATTAAAGGAGTATTAGTTAGGCATCCCTCTTATTGGCAACAACTTTCTCATCTTCATCCAGCAGACTGCATGATTCTTACTAAGTACTTAAATTACTCTCTGAGAGTAGGACTCATATTTCTATCAATAACTTATTTCTTTCTTGCAAATAAGGTAAATTCTATTTTCATTTTGAGACAATATGTATCACTTATCTTGCAAACTGGACCAACTGTAAATCCTTGTATAGGAAAGATAAATAAAGCAAAGGATAAGTTTTTTTTATCTGAAGTTTTGATAACCTGGTTAAAGAGAAAAAAATTAAGTCAAATAATATTTTAGACAAATTGATAACGTTTTTCTTTAAAGTATCGAATTTTCACAGTAAATCTCACAAATGCTATAAAGTTTAAACAAAATTAATAACTTTAGTCATACCTATTCCATAATAAGTTCTATTCATCTTAAGTTTTAGCCATGTACTTGAATGTGTGTTATAATAATGCTAACAATTTCTGAACATTTCCTCCATGTTTTTGTTATTCTGGAATGATACCAATGAGCTGAAGTATGGCTGAGAAATGAAATTGGCCTGCAGTTGCTTCTGCAAACTAAAGTGCAGAAAATTTACTCTATCTTTTTAGTTCAAAAGTTCACCTTCAGCAGGGAAACGTATAGGTAATTGGAGTCTTTATTGCTTTCACCAAACACAGTCCAGTGCCTAGAGAGATCTGCAGTTTCAAAATGATGCAATAGAGGTGACAAATGACTGCCTACAGAAAAACGAGTGAGACCTAAAAGAGTGTTGCAGATAGGCATAAAATGAAAATAAGTAGCACTTGTGTAAGAGTTTGAAATAGCTGCAAAATAGCACACATCACTTTTGCCTCTTGAAAATATATGTAAGGTTTGAAAGCAGTATTTCAGAGAAAGAGTTGACTAACAAAGGTACAAGATTTGATAGAGCTTCCAGAAAGCAGAAAATGTGTTGTTGAGCCTGGAATCATGAGTTTTACTTATGAGTGACTTTTGATAAAATCTGACTTTCTTAGCAGTCAAAGGTGAAGAAACTAAGGTATACTCTAATCCTAGGGACAACCGTGGTATTAAAGTTAACTTTGTGTTGTGAGCCAGTACTGTGAACACACTGCTTTGATTGTCACAATGCAGTTGCAGCTGGGCCATGTAAAACTCTGAACGACAGAATAGGAAATTGACTAACATAGTGTCACAGGGTCACTGAACCCAGAATGGCTGTCACTGAGCCCTGGAGGTGGAGGGCGTCTCTGCACAGACAGAGTTTACAGAAATTGAGGTGTTCATCACCAGCAGTGCTGTGCACCTGCCATGCTACCCCATGCCCTCATCCATGCACCTGCCAATGCAATGTTCAGGAAATTTATCCTCCTCTGACCACACTCCAGGGAGCTACTAATCAAAAAGTGTTATATGTTTTGTTCTTACAGTAGATACACTTTGGGCAAGACCACAAGCTACTGAAGTAAATGGGAATTTTGCTACTGATTTTAAAGTTAGCAATATAAAAGCCATTTCCCAAACAAACCTGAAGTAAAACAAACCCCAGATCAAGGCAAATGATTCTGTCAATTTGTATAGATGTACTCTCCTGCCTTTTCAGGTCAAATCATCTTCAAGGGTGAAGATGGTGTTTGTTTAACACATTTTATGCATTATAAAACACCATAAAATTGATGACATAAGAGATCAGATTATTGTTTGGAGTAAACTGCCATAGCTCCAAGAAATTATACTGTTCAGGATATGCCTATTGATGTCCAAGAAGTTACACTAATTTATATTTAGTAAGAATCAAGTCCTCTGTGTTTCAAGAAACTGAATATGTATTTTTCTCTTTGCTGAAGTGGTTTCCATGAAAAATTATCTTCCAGTGTTATGAATTGAAAGGCCTGTTCTATTATACATACTGTAATGTGGCATTTTATTCCAGGTCTGGAAAATGAAAAAAAATACTTGTACAAGATTAATTTTGTCCTTAAATTCATGTTATTCCATTGATAGACACAAAGCCTTTTGACTGAAGCAAATAAATTGTGCACTGAGTAATATAGATCAATAGCTTATGTTTTGTAGGTGAAAATACTTTGTAGGGTGTTATCCTACCGAGCTGATATATGATTGTTCTGTAAATTATCTTTAAAGAGTAATCACTGACATATTTGCAAAGTAAATAGAAAAGAGTTCAGTGCAAGGAAAGCCTCTTAGCTATTTTTTGTCAAGACAAAACTAACTAATAGCTACTGTCTCCAGTGTCAATGTTTTTCTCAGAGCCCACTAAAATGAACAATACTCTTTCTTTTGACCTTACTGCACTGTTGAGAATGTCCATCATGACAGATTTCTATTGTGCAATCACAAATGGCTTGCTCTAAGAAACAGAATGTTGAAGCCCCTCACAAACTTTCTGAGTTAGCTTAAAAGCTTTGATGAAGATTATGTAATATTTATGGGTTAAATGGATGAAGATTTTTTGGTCCTGTGGAAAATTTGTGACATTTTTGTCATGCCTTGGGAAATGTTTTCATTTACAGCAGTAGAAGCTGATGCTTGTGCATTTTAAACCAAGACTTAACGACACAACTGAAATGCTTCTGATTCTGGAGAAAAGAGATTTTTTATTATTTTTATAACCCACATGTCATGATACAAAGCTCTATTTTGCATTTTTACCACTACCTTAATTGAAGCCTCACAACTGTCGAAAGATATGAGGAAAAGCAAGGGAGGCTACTACAAGTGATGATGTTAATATCATAACAATGGCATTCTGTTAATTAATTCTTTAAAGATTATCCCTTGCCAAAACACAGTGCTAACCTTTTACTTACTTTAGGAATATCTGCAGATACCGTTTGAAACTGAAATTTGTATTTATTATTTTTTTATATGAAAGTTTTAGTGACACTTTTTTTTGCAACAGTATCACGGAGTCCTTTTTCAGCATTAGTCTGGACAAAGTCGTTTAAGTATCACAGTATTTTAAATCAAATAGGATAGCTCCATTCATTTCATGATGCAGACTATTTTATCATGCTGTTACTGAGACATTTATTCTGAAAATTGAACAGTGTTTTGTCCCAGTGTTTTATTTAACTGAAGTTGATATATGTATAAGAATTGATGTTTAGGAGTGCTAAGTCCCATAAGTAAAACAAAACTTCTTGGGAATTTCATTTTTGAGCAGGCCTGATAAATCTCATTAACACTTGATATCTTCAATGTCAGAGATCAAATAAAAATCCTTGATGTACCTGATAAAGTGTAAAGGATATTTACATTATCCCTTGCTGTATATTATGAGCTAACCTTCACAAAAGTTTGTTTCTCCAAAAAAACCCACAAACCTTGTTAACCTTTGCACCATAGTAGGAAAGCTATACATTAAAATCTAGCAAGCAAGGTTACAACTCCTGTATACGCTTAATTTTTTAGTGTTATCTAGATGGATTTAGGGTTCTGCTTTTGGTATATTTCAGAAGAAAATCTCCCTGAACAAACAAAAAAGAAATGCTGTCTAACCTTCCCTTCTGTGAGCAGTTAATAAAAGGCAACATGATGAAATTTCTTTGATGATGAAACTACCAGCACCTACTCATAAATCCTTAATTGAATGAATATTTAAAAATGAGAGTAGATACAATAATGCTATGCCCTAGGGTATCTCATATAACAATAAGAAAGATCAGCTATGAAATCTGATTCCAATATTGTGGAAGTAATGGAAGTCAAAACTGCACGTGTGCATTTCAGGCAAGGATCACAGGCTACTTCTAAATGCCATGAGCACTGATGGCTCCAATATGCTGACAGATTTACAGGTATGTCATAGATATCCTTTAAGACTTCTTAATTTCTTTCTATTGACTAGAGGGACTTCCAAAGGAAATTAATGAACAAAGAACTCAAGAGGATCAAATAAGCAATACAAATGTGTCTAATAATGGCAGACATATGTAAGTATAGAAAAGGTTAAGCTATTTGGTGAATTAAGTACTTGGGAAGCAAGTGATTACTGTAAATGCATCTTTTCAGAGTAAAAGGATCTTTTTAGTTGATATTTCTCTCATTGATTTTTGTCAGACCTAAGTGACAGAACATTTCACGGTTGCTTAT